GAGGGATACTACCTTTCGAAATCCGTTCCAGGGACAAGTTTCTCAATTTTTCATCGGTGGAACGGTGGCTCAAAGAGGCAGCCTCTTTTCACGGAACGGTAGACACTTTGCAGAAAAGGTGCGTAGATTTTTTTTCGCGAGGTCGTCGTTTTGGCGCATTCCTTTGCGTAGGCGAGAGGAGAAGGGAAGGGGAGGCGTAGGGAAGAGGCCAGCAGAGAGGAGAGTCTTTGAATGCGAGACCGCGGAATAATTTATATGGAAAGTGAGAGAGAGAGAGAGAGAGAGAGACGCTTCTTGAGGAAGCATTGTGCTTGGACTTGAATTAACATCACCCTCCCCTCCCCCCTTGACTGTGAGGTTCTGGCTGTGCCTCTTGGCGATGTCGTGACTAGCGAGCACCGGGATAAAGGGGGATCAATAGGGGCGGCAGGAAGTAGGGCTCTGCTACTATACAAACCGGCAAGGTATTCCTATACCTCCAACTACGTATCCCGTGGGACGTACCTGCGTAACGAGACAGAAACTACGACTTGCTTCGCTATCAGAGACCGATTTATTGATATTAGCCTCGTGGCCGTTTCCAGCCACCCTTTGGAAACAGTGTGAAGAAATATATCTCGTCTCGCCGGGAATGGGGAGAGTGAGCCTCCTCGCGTGTATCGATGGAAAAAGATTCTCGCGTAATGTTAAAATTGTTGTGGAGGTAGGATTATAAGAGAAAATACGAAGAATCGTTTCTTTTTTCGATCGAAAATTTCGAGGTGCTCGAATTTTGGAAAAGAGGTTTTTTTATATCGTGTCTTGTGTTGAGCGATTGAGGTTTCCAAGTTAAAAATAGATTCCTTCAAAAAAGAAGAGAGATCATTTAGAATAGAGATTCGTCTGAAAAATAAATTTTCCACGTATCGTTCGAATCGAAATCTCTCTATGAGAGATTACACGTTATCTTGAAAATTTTTCTTCCGAGTACAACAACAAGCGTAATCGTTCGCGGAATATCCGTAATATCAAAACAGATTTAAATAATTTCCCTCCACTTATCAAGCGATCCAACGAGCGAACTTGTATAATTCAAAGAGGTAGACCGATTCTCGTTTCCTCCAAGAGTCAAAGTCGGTCGTTCACTCCTTGTAAGCGTAATTGCATCGCTGAAAGCGTCGGTTTTATTGAAACAAAACAACGGCGAATTAAAAACCGTTCCAACAAGATTTACGTCTTTCCTTCACTTTTATTACTTGCTGAACATGAGGGCAGGATATGTGGTAAACACGATAAAACGCGAGAAAATTTCCCTCTCTCTCTCTTTCTCTCTCTCTCTTTCTCTTTCTCTCTCATTGTCGGCGCATAAAATAAATGCGCTTGATGAACCGCGCACACAATGCGCCTCGCACGAAAGATGCATTTTTCACGTTAATAAGAGATAACTCGAGTAGCGCACGTGTTTGATTTGCATTCCGCACACTTTCTTCGCTCGAAATGCTCTTATCAATGTATAAAACACGAAGCCAGTAACCGGTTGGATACTTATCGTTGACCCGAATAACAATGGATTTACGTCGCACGGCTGGCCGCAATAACGGCGCACAGGTTCGGACACGACTTTCCTCGCGCGGAACTTGTAGTCTCCTCGATTCAACAAATTCAAAAGTTCAACGTGTCCGCACACTTTCTTCGCTCGAAATGCTCTTATCAATGTATAAAACACGAAGCCAGTAACCGGTTGGATACTTATCGTTGACCCGAATAACAATGGATTTACGTCGCACGGCTGGCCGCAATAACGGCGCACAGGTTCGGACACGACTTTCCTCGCGCGGAACTTGTAGTCTCCTCGATTCAACAAATTCAAAAGTTCAACGTGTTCCGACATTTTTTTTATCGTTACCATCGTATTCCATAACATTTTTAACGGAGAAGCGCGTTTTTTTCTTTTTCGATCGAAACATAAATTATCATTCTTCATCGTTAAAATTAAATTCTCGGAGAAACGTAATGGAAATAATAAGAATATGGGGGAGAATTTTGATATCGTCAGGAAGAGAAAGGCACGTGGCAATCTGTAACGAAGTATCCTCGTCATATGGCGACCGATAGGCCACCGAAATAATGGGCGCGCAACATGCGCCCTCGAAATCGGCAAGTGCTCGAAAACATCGTAAATTCCTTGACCGATCGAACGGCCATCTGCCATGCCGAAAGGGGGAAAAAAAGGAAGAAAAAAACAAGACACAGGTTGCCTCTTAAATTTCATTCTCCTTCGATACAAGTGAAAAAAATAAATTTAAAGCGTGCTCACTCGTGGATCTGATCTTTTTTTGCGTGCTTCGAAAGCGACACTCCTCGACCAAACCGCCTACCTTTTACGCATAACTATGAAGGCACGAGTGCGACGCTTGACCAGACATTTCTTAAAAAAAAAAAAAAGAAAAAGCGAGAGAGAAAGAAAAAATATGACGCTTGGACGAAATGAACCGTGTCTCTCGAACAGAAGTTTGGAATCGTGTATCGTTGAACGGATACAGCTTTATAAATCGCTCAATATGGGTTCCTTTAGATTTACGAGACTCGAGGATTGCATTTTTTATGAAAGAAACAACCAATTCCGTTTTTATTACCATTTTTTCCTCCCTCTCCCCAAACTCAATAACGCTCCTGTCCCCCATTTACGATCCTCAACTTTTTAACGAGCAGACAATCTCCATTTTTTGACACAGATCTAATAAGTCTAACGAAATACCAACAGCCTTCCCCCCATTCCCGAACCCTCGTGAGGATTTTCGTGAGAGCGGCGTGAAAGCGGTGTTCATCCCCGTGGCGGGATCCCTCTCCTTTATGGGTTGTTGTCGTCGGCAACCTGTTCAAATATACCCGGAGAAGGAAAGTTGACGGGGTATGACGCGTCCTCGTGGTTCTTTCCAACGAAACTAATCCATTATTCCCGCAGAGGCGAAAAAAGGCGCCAGGATTGTCGTGCGCATCCCATTGAAACACGAGTGAACAAGAGTGGTGGAAACGAAAGAAACGTCCTGAAATAATATTTGAGATGCCCGCTGTTCGGAAATATTCTCTTGGATCCATTTGAGTTGGTAGGAACAAATGACCGACAAATATGTATACAACTCGAACGCATTCGGACAGGAGAGAAAGATCCGCAGCTGTCACTCCGCCAGGATTCGCATCCAGCTTTTGTATCGTGTTGCGTTTTTCGAGGAATCGCTCGGGCGCGATCGAATGGAAATAACAAAGAGCAGGTGACTTCGGGTTAATTAAATTAAACTCGCTCGACACCCTCGACAATCTCGAAATTTTTTTCCACCATGTGTCTTGGCACGTGATATTTTTTTTTTTTTTATTTCACCGGCATTCTCCGGTCACCACTTTTCTCCAACCACGATAGATCGAAGCAGAGTATGGTATAGAGCGGTAGTTCCATCAATACTTGTTGCGAAGGATCGTGTCCACGATATATTTCAAGAATCGTCACACGAGAATTGTCCTTTTTTTTAATTCTATTTCTATTGCTTTTCGTTGCGAATGAAATATTATTATCATTACACCATACCTAGATACGTTCCGGAAAAGTTGGCGAAAAGCCGTACAACGAATCAATTATTTTGATACAAACCCGTACAAATTCAATTGGATCTGTTCCAATATTTTATAAAATAATATAGTTTTTAGTGCATTTTTTTTTTGGCCGTGCAACGAAACATTGTGGGCCGTAAATCAAAAAAGTGCCATAATTAAAAAAAGAGCGTATATATAGCGAAATGACGGCCCTATAGCTATAGTATTTGTATTCGATATCAGTTCCGATTGGAAAATTTTGATTAATTCGTCTTGATTTCATGATTTTCGTGAGCTCGTTTACTCGCTCCTCGGTCGGAGGAAAAATAAAGAATTTCCAAGAAATCGTCGGATCCAATTCGAATAAGCTCCTTTTCCCCTTCGATTGATATTCTCTTTTTTTTTTTTTTATTCGCTTCTCGCGATTGCATTCGACGAACGACGCGCGATACTTGGAAAGAGCAACACACGAGCCCCGCTAGTCGAGGGGGGTTAAATCGCTCGAACAACACGAGGGGATGGAAGAATCGCGAAGTCACTGCTCGAGCACCCCCTCCCCCCTCGCGTATCCCGCACACGGAACACGGTGGAATATAAATTTATGGAAGATAAAGTTTGACGAGGGCGATGGGAAACGGAGGGGGCGGGCAATGGTTTCAATGCGCCCCAAGGCGTTTTACTTTTCCAGGAGAACTTTGTTTTCTCACCGAAATTCCGGCTGGCAGCTGCAACAACAGCAACGAGGCTATATGCCTATCCTTTCACTCCAACTTTACCTTTATAAACCTCGGCCCCGAACTCTTCGAGGACAAAGTCCGCGGCAGAGGAATAACAGGAGGATGCAGTTTCCCACTCGTATATGGACGATTTTTCCCCCTCCCTCTTCTCTCTCTCTTTCTTTCGGATAAAAACGCACTTTCGGAAGAAATTTCGAAAGTTTACTTTCGCTGACGCGTGAGCGATATCGAAACGAGGGGAAACGTTGGCTAATAAGATGGAAGATTTCAAAAGAACGAAAGATTCCTCCGTCTCGAAACGTCCTTTTATTTATTTTTCTTTCTTCCTTCCCCTTCTCCCGAAGCGCAACTCGATCGATCGTAATGATCGTAATAATCGGCGAGAGAACGAATAACCGTTTAAACGGTTTGCGAAAGCGTGAAATTTCGTTAACGTTTATTAAACGTCGTCCCCCGTCGTCTCGTTCGCTCGATACATGGTATTATTATTTGAAAAGCTCTTCTCGTAATGTCGAGAACATTTGCTTTCCCGACTAAATATTTGCCGCGAGCCTCGGGACGATTTTAACATCTCAAAGCACACACACTCGCCGCCGCGCTATGACGAGGAGACTGTCTTTTTTTTCTTTCCCTTTTTTACAATTTTTCTTTCTCGCTCCTCCTTTTTTCCTCTTCCTTTTCTTTCTCCCTTTTCTCTTCTTTCTTCCTTTCTTTCTCTCTCTCTCTTTTTTTTATTCGGGAAACCCTATAGCCATTGTGCGCTCAAGAATGGGTCCCCACCACGCACACGACCGGCGTACAATGCACAGGACCAACGAGCATCCATTGTTTCTATTGTTTGTCTATACGCCGCTCCGCGTTGTCTACGGATCTTTAATTTAAAACACGAATTTCCATACGGTCATTTCGTGGTTCCCGAGCTACGCATCCTATCCTCCCTTTCCCATCCTTTCCTTATATATACACACACACACGAAGAAAGAACGAAACTGTTCATCTCCACGCTCCGTTTTCCCTCTCCCCTTTGCCCACCAGTTCCCTTCTTTCACACCCCCTATCTACGACGAATCATCCCTAAACGTAAACGAATTCCACCATTTACCGTATCGTTAAACACCTATTCTCCCCGCGTCTATGGGCGACAATCAAACCGGCAATTCGTAAACCGGGCATAAACCGGGAAATATCCATCGTCGGGCGTGTACCACGTGGCAGACGACAAAGGAGGACGAATCGAACAATCGCCACAATCAACCGGCCAAACCCCTCCTCCCCTGCTGCTGGCCACGCCGCGACGAGTCTGGGCCGCCGATTTTCCCTCCGCAGCGACCATTCTCTCTCTCTCTCTCTCTCTGAGAAGTGCGAAAAGTTTCACCCGGCCGTGAATTATCGCCGCGGGGATCACGCCCGCGATAAAGGAAGAGGACAGATAATAAAGGGGGGGAGGGGGAGGGGAAGAAGGGGTGGCGGGTCGTAAATTATGGAGCGGCAACAATGAGACGAAGGAGGAATCTTCTCCATCTATGCGTGGCCGGCAAGGGCAAATATTTACCCCGGCAAAACTCGGAGAGTAATAGATTCGAGATGACTTTTCGTTTAAACCTGGCACAAAAGGTGGAGGGCGCGTTTAGGGCCGGAAAACTCGGAGCCACCCGCCGCGGGGACAATGCGTCTTTCCCGTGGACGATTTCCATTCAACGTTCGGAGGAAGGGGCGTGAAATGTGGTTTCGCCGTTTGTCAACTGGACGCTAATTGTTATTGCCCGCTAATTTCCTTGGATATCGCCCCCCCTCTCCCCGTCTGAAAATGCGCGTGCCCTATCCAACGTCGCGCTGCTGTATCGATGTACGGATCGTATTGTGCCCTTTTTATTACGATAGTGAAGAAATTAATTCCTCGATAAATGAGGCATCGATTTCTTTTTTTTATTCGTTCGAAGTATTATCATCGTTTTCGGTATCGAAGTCTCGATTAATAGCAATTTTTCGGTTTCTTTCCCGTATACTCGATGTTGCTTTAACCGTTTGCACTCGTATTTATATTTAAGAAGGTCGGCACCAATCAACTCGGAATTTTTGTTCATATTCGATGGAAATGTTTTTAAATAATAAAATAATTTTATCTGCATTTCGATCCCTTAATCGGAAAATCTATATATATATATATAGATATATATATATATATATATATATATATATATATATATATATA